TTACAATACCTCTATTCAAGTCAGAACTTCGTAGAGGGCTGAGGAACCTGGACGCTGATCTCAAAAAAGGCTCTTACGATTTTTCTAAAAATGTAACAGTTGGTGTATAGCGCTGAGACTAGCTCGTTGGCCCCACGGGGAAAACCCTAGTTTGACTTGTTTATTAAGTAAAAAAAAAAGGAAATAAATTTAAATTTGACTAGAGTTCTAGTATTTTGAAAGGTTTGAAAGGACTATCCCGCTCTTGAAAGGACTATTGCTTTCGGGAATTTCCGAATGCAAGGCCTTATTGATTCAAGGGTTTAATAAAGCATTACTTGACTTTCATCTTCCACTAAACCAACAGCCTTGAAGTGTTTCGAACGACATTTTGCAGCGAAATGATTTCTCTTTTACATTTTCGAATGTCTGTCCGAATGCTGGGCAATTGTATTTTCCATGAGATCTACCACAAGATCTGCAACCTCTAATGATACTTGTCACGTGATTCTTTGCCATTTTTTCCTGTGAGTTTTGACTGGCTTTCTATTTTCTGTCTTCTTTAATTTATAAGCAGCATCTACGTGTAGTCCTTTCATATCTATCATTTGGTTCTGGGTATGCTCGTCAGCACGAATTATGCTTGCTGCTTTCTCTAAAGTTAAGTCTACGTCTATCAGAAGTCTCTCTCTCACTCAATACGACTGTATGCCACACACCAATCGATCTCTGATGAGTTCATCTCGAGGGTTGTCATTCTTTTGCCAAATTCTTCATATCAGTATAATACTGTTGAAAGTTTCACCGTCTTCTGATTTCTTGTAAAAAATTTAAATCTGTCATACCTATGAAACACAGTGTTGGATTTGATTCTTAAACCTTTCAATTATTTTGTCTACAGTCTCATCTTCACATATTTGAAAAGTATTATAGTCTCGAGCGGGTTCACCAATCAGGTGTAACAATAAAGCTTTCTTCACTAGCTCGGGCTTCGTATTCTTGTCAGTGGCAACTGAAAACAGTTCAAAACTCTGTCTCTATTTTATCCATCTTTCAGATAGATTACCGTCTAGTGACAACGGTTTAGGAGGATCGAATAATTCCATTATTCGTACAGATTCTATGTCTAGATCTAGAGCTGAAACAAAATGAACTAACGACACCATTTGAAACAAATTTTAGCAATTTAGAAACCGATACCTGTTACCACAGCGCTTTAAACCAATCTGACAATAGATCTTACACCTAATCTGTCATCAGATCTGACACCATCCTCTGTTCACAGATAAATAAATAAATTACTGTAGACATTAATTAATAATAATAATAATAATAATAATAATAACAGAGACTGTGTTTCTACAAGTAGACATAGAAGACTCTTTTTTTTCATTACGTCACATCCTACTTTCTCTCAAAACATTCACAACAAACATTGATGCAATATGAACATATTAACACAAATCCATTACGCAAGTAACGAGATGATTGAAGTGAATGGATGTATGAGCACATCTGTCACATTCCTGCCAAGTGCAATTACCTCAGAACTATATGGCGGCTTGATACTTTCCCATTTTATTCCCGCTATGATCAGTTCGAACCAAGGCACCAAGGGTAAGACCACGATAAAGGAGCATATGCTTATGCATATAAATTATTTGTACGAGCGTTTGAATGAACGAACTAACATTTAAACAATGAAACACAGCAAACCCCTAAAATAATTGTACACTTTCTACACAACATCAGATAAGTGCAGGGCTTTTTTTTGTGTGACGATACGGACCGGTACGGCGTACCGGCACCTTTTTCAATGTTGGGAAAATTATTACTTTTCTTGTATCTTAACGTTTATTATTAATATATTAGTAGTTAAAAGTTAGGCAATTCTTCACTGAGTACCGGCACCTATTGTTTTTTTTGTTTTTTTTACAAAAACAAGCACTGGATACTGTATACAAACTATCTGCACATCCTATAAATGTTCACTAAATGTCTAAACAACAAGTTAACGACTGATAAATGTTCACAAAACACTTACACAACATTTGATCTAATTAAACGTAGCAAACCATCCAAAGGGTGTTTATTTCAGAATAATACCAAATGATTTAAACATAAATGTAAAAAAAAAAAAAAAAAACATTTTCTTGGTGTCAATCTTTACAAAATTGTTAAAATATTTATTATAGTATTATTGTATTAGGTAGCGATACAGCTTAAACAAGTAAGCTATGTAGTCAAATCTCTGAAAATATATGATCAAATTAAAATGGGTAGCCTAGTTATAGAAAATCATTATAGCATTACGAGATTAGGCCTACCATCAGATTAATTAGGCCTACTGTTGCATTTTAGATACAGAGGTATACATCTAAAACAATTGCACCGCCTTAAACAAACTGGACTTAGTTTGCAGTAACCAGCAAAAAAATTAGATCAGTTGTAGATTAGTTAACAAGGCATTTTTTTGTGTAGGTGTAATTTGTTATGTTTTTATTTCTCACAATTGAACAATGTCATCAAGTCAAACAGAAGGTGATATATTCTATGATCCTCTTCTCAAATGGATTCCCTGCACGATAGTTAAAAAAATTAATCTCGTTCAAATAATGTGTATATCTTTGTTTTAAAACAAATAGCTGTAGTGCAGGGTTTGGCAACCTTTTTGTATCGAGGGCCGCATTAAGAAAAATTTGGGAATGGGGAGCCGCAGATACATATATTTAAGTACTCACAACTTTGAAAATACGCTAACTGTGTATAATGTCTTTTAATTCATATTTATACCGTTATGGTATTATACATTCATTTTTCATTTTTCACACTCCCAATTAAGGAATTACAACCTATTTTACGATTTAAAAAAAATAGCTATTGTCTTTTTATATCACAACATTTCACCACAAATACACTGTTGTACACAATGTGAAGTATTTAACTGTTTAAACTAGTGAGTAACGTTTCCGAACAGTAAAACAAGCTTACTGGTTGTTATCCTTGTGACTGCTGTGAAATTACAGTCAGTCAGCATCGACCTGTGATTACACTTGCTTAATTTCCACAAACAGTACTTGTTCACGTGTGTATTTGTACCCAAATAATGTGCACGTTTAGCAGCAAAGCTTTTTAAGTGTGGAAATACAGCTTCTGGCATTCTAAAGCTCCCGTGGAAGAAATTACTGGAGCTTCTCTTTCAGTTCATAATTTGCTATGGAGTTGTGTCTCCTGGTGCTGATGGTATTGAAAACTGGTTCTTGACATCTTAGCATTTGCTTTTATAAATTACACAATTAAAGAATCTAAATTAGTCTTGTACTCTCAAACATTTCACTAGATATCGTTTCTCTAACTTACAAGGGCCGCGGGATACACATTTGAGACCAAAAGAAATTCCACTGCTGATGACAAACGTAGATGGAGGTTAGGAAATCTAAATAGACCACCTTCGGACAATATTTATGCCTGCGATAGTTGAGATAAAATATGTAGGTCACCGCTGGGTCTGCGTAACCAAGGGAAGGACTGCTTTTACTGGCTTGTCTTGAGAAATAGGAAAGCTTTGTTTAAAAGGATTTAACATGCACTTACATTTCAGCCATCGGAATACTTAGTCTCTATATCTTCAAGTACTTTTCAGAACTGCATATGGTTAATTCCCTTAACTCTGATTATGTAAATATCTTTTCTTTGTTTCACATTTGTTATATTAAAATTTTATTCATCTTTGTGCAAGCTTTCCTGTTTAAAGTTTATGGTTGGGATATTCTTTATTTTAAAAAAATGTTTTTCTTCATCAAAGATCGAGCTTCATCGGTTGTTACACTTGCCACCTGAGACTAAGTGTATTGAAGTATAGCCGATGAGAATAATCTTCGTTTACTTGAAACTTTTTATAATTAGACAGTTACAATAATTTTTAGAGAACATTTAGAATATAATATATTATATATATATATATATATATTATTAATATATTTGCATTTGTATATGAGATTACTGTGGTCACACCTAATTTCTGTAGGTGTTCGCGGGCAGCATACAACACTCCGGCGGGCCGCATGTGGCCCGCAAATTAGCACACCCCTATGTAGTGTCATCACTTTGTGTAGGCTATAACAAGGCGTGTTAGTATGTAATGCTGGTCATTAATTACTTATGACATTAATTATAAAAAGTCTAATCATATACTACTGTAGAGGCCTATTGTTTTAAAAGTTGACCTAGATGACAGTCAATGCACCTACGACCTATCCCCTTCTGAGGGGGATGGCAGATTGCTCAAGGCACATTGAAATTTATTAAAGGATATTCCGAAGATTGAGGATGACTGTCTTGTTTCAAATGACTATGCAAACCGAGGCGAAAATAGAGCACTGAAATTTATAACAAAATCTAACTTTTGGGAGAACTTTTTGTAATCGTGTTGATGGGGACATTCAGTATCAGTAGATTCCCACATTCGCTTAAGAACACCATTTTCCACTACCATTGAGTCCCATTGTGCCCAGTACGCCTTCATGGCAGCCCCTTTCTCAGCAATGTGTTGGTTAGAGTAACACCACTAGTAAAATCGCTTAACTTCACTGACTTCAGGGCTGAAGTAAAATATGCCTTAGGCCTACATTAATACATAAAACCCTGACCATAATTTAGAGATATTAAAACACAACCGAATAAAATAGGCCTACTTAGAATGACACATAAATTAAGGCACATTTCTTGTTACATATGCTAAAATGACTTTCCAAATGTTTTCTTTCTTCTCTAATGCCTTTAGTAATTTAGTATAATTAATCAGAAAAAGTAATGGCTAATGACTTGGTAAGGTTTAACTTTTTAACTAAAATGCAGGACTAACAACTAGCACTTGGCGGACATACATTTGAAACTAAAAGAAATGCCCTTGCTGAAGACTGTAAAAAGACAACTTAAATAGATCCAAGGTGGATAACGGCTTAGTCTGCTTTTTTTCTTCTTCTCGACAGCTTTTTGCTGCAGGCTTTTTAAAAATATCAACAACACGTCGTGTTCCCAAGCGGTCATCCAAGCCAACGTTGCTTGACTTAGGTGATCGGACGAGAACCGGTATTTTCAACGTGGTATGGCCGTAGACGTGACAAAATTTGCAGGTCGAAAATGGGTCTGCGTAGTCACGAGAATCGCTGCCTATATCTGCTGCCTCAAAGACAATACCACAATTTATATCAGCTGAACTAGATGTCTGCTTGTACAATTTATTTACACTAATCTAGATGTCTACTTGTTCACTTTATATTAGCTGAACTAGATGTCTGCTTGTACACTTTATATCAGCTGATCTAGATGTCTGCTTGTACACTTTATCTCAGCTGACCAAGATGTCTTCTTGTACACTTTATCTCAGCTGATCTAGATGTCTGCTTGTACACTTTATCTCAGCTGATCTAGATGTCTGCTTGTACACTTTATCTCAGCTGATCTAGATGTCTGCTTGTACACTTTATTTCAGCTGATCTAGATGTCTGCTTGTACACTTTATCTCAGCTGATCTAGATGTCTTCTTGTACACTTTATCTCAGCTGATCTAGATGTCTTCTTGTACACTTTATCTCAGCTGATCTAGATGTCTGCTGGTACGCTTTATCTCAGCTGATCTAGATGTCTGCTTGTACGCTTTATCTCAGCTGATCTAGATGTCTGCTTGTACGCTTTATCTCAGCTGATCTAGATGTCTGCTTGTACGCTTTATCTCAGCTGATCTAGATGTCTGCTTGTACGCTTTATCTCAGCTGATCTAGATGTCTGTTTGTACGCTTTATCTCAGCTGATCTAGATGTCTATTTGTACGCTTTATCTCAGCTGATCTAGATGTCTTCTTGTACGCTATATCTCAGCTCATCTAGATGTCTGCTTTTACGCTTTATCTCAGCTGATCTAGATGTCTGCTTGTACGCTTTATCTCAGCTGATCTAGATGTCTGCTTGTACGCTTTATCTCAGCTGATCTATATGTCTGCTTGTACGCTTTATCTCAGCTGATTAAGATGTCTGCTTGTACGCTTTATCTCAGCTGATCTAGATGTCTGCTTGTACGCTTTATCTCAGCTGATCTAGATGTCTTCTTGTACACTTTATCTCAGCTGATCTAGATGTCTTCTTGTACACTTTATCTCAGCTGATCTAGATGTCTGCTGGTACGCTTTATCTCAGCTGATCTAGATGTCTGCTTGTACGCTTTATCTCAGCTGATCTAGATGTCTGCTTGTACGCTTTATCTCAGCTGATCTAGATGTCTGCTTGTACGCTTTATCTCAGCTGATTAAGATGTCTGCTTGTACGCTTTATCTCAGCTGATCTAGATGTCTGCTTGTACGCTTTATCTCAGCTGATCTAGATGTCTTCTTGTACACTTTATCTCAGCTGATCTAGATGTCTTCTTGTACACTTTATCTCAGCTGATCTAGATGTCTTCTTGTACACTTTATTTCAGCTGATCTAGATGTCTTCTTGTACACTTTATCTCAGCTGATCTAGATGTCTTCTTGTACACTTTATCTCAGCTGATCTAGATGTCTTCTTGTACACTTTATCTCAGCTGATCTAGATGTCTTCTTGTACACTTTATCTCAGCTGATCTAGATGTCTTCTTGTACACTTTATCTCAGCTGATCTAGATGTCTTCTTGTACACTTTATCTCAGCTGATCTAGATGTCTTCTTGTACACTTTATCTCAGCTGATCTAGATGTCTTCTTGTACACTTTATCTCAGCTGATCTAGATGTCTTCTTGTACACTTTATCTCAGCTGATCTAGATGTCTTCTTGTACACTTTATCTCAGCTGATCTAGATGTCTTCTTGTACACTTTATCTCAGCTGATCTAGATGTCTTCTTGTACACTTTATCTCAGCTGATCTAGATGTCTTCTTGTACACTTTATCTCAGCTGATCTAGATGTCTTCTTGTACACTTTATCTCAGCTGATCTAGATCAGCTTAGATAAAGGTCTTAAAACAATATCTCTTACTTAGATATTTTAATTTGTAAACATTAGTAATAATCAGACACGGATAAATAACTACAATGAAAATAAAACTTTTTTTTCGCCGCCCCCCCCCCCTTTTTGTTGTTGGTCGGTCATTGGCTTGTTGCTCCAAACAGCCAGTATCTACATGTAGGTCTACATCGATAATGAGCCCAAAATATTCAACGCCTAACTAACAGCCATTTAACATAAAAGTGAAAATGTTTTTAACATTGAGTTTTTAATGATATACTTACAGTTCGGGGTACTCGACTAAGCAACAATATTTTTCTGTAGTAAATAGATACTAAGAAGAAAAAAATGTTTTGCTTCTGTAAGCATCATTCGAAACCAATATTACAGACAACCCCCGAAAATTCAAGGTCAGAAATGAATAATGCGCCTATGAGAAAAACCCTTGGGAATCCATTCATCCATTTGTCCTTATTAACAGTTTCTAAAATAGCTGCTTATGTACAAATATCGTTTTCTTTTCATTAAATAGTTCACAAAGGATAAAGCAATAATTAGCATTCACAGAATATATATGTATAAAATATTTGAGTAATTTTTTAGTTATTAAATTTTAAAAAAATAATGATTTGGCCGCCCCCTACCTTCGGCCGCCTGCGTGCAATGCACACATTGCACAATAGGTAGCGGCGGCCCTGATCCTATCACTTGCTGGGACCAGTTATGGGGAGGGGATAAAGAAGGGGGTATATGGTTGAAGGTTACCGTGATAGCTTTTTGAAAGTATTTTTATAAAAAAGAAGCTGCAGGGCATTAATTCGGACTCGAGGGCTCAAGCATCGACAAGTTAACACATAGGCCACTGTGCTAGCGAAGTGCTTATGAAAATAGAAGGTTTCATAGTTATATATTGTTAGTTTCAAACTTTCAAGTGATGACCTAATTCTCGACACAAAGTATAAAGGAAACTAATTCCGCTTATACCACGATATCTGTCAATTACAATTTATTTCCATTGTTCTATACAAAACAAAATAATTAATTACAAATAATTAATTAAATAATTGGTTAATTATTTTTCTAAATTGATTCTTGTTTTGAGAGGTACATGAAATACACATTCCTCGTCCCATATGCTAGGACAAATTTGTACAAATACTCCTTCTTCCCTAATGCTATTAGAGCATGGAATGGGTTGCCTGAGCTAGCCAGGAAAACCAGTGACTTGGCAGAATTTAAGTCATTGGTTAATATGCATGACTAAATGCATGACGCGTAGGACGTAATCATCTTTTTTTTTTTGAAGTAACGTCTGTATTGTATAAGATAAGTAGCTAAGATACTTGTGCAAATTTCCACTTGATCCGAGATTGTTTTTTTTTTTAGAAATAACGTGTACTAAAATTGTACCAGACAGACAGACGGACAGAGTTGATTGAAGCTATGTGGGAAAAAAAGATGAGATGAGGAGAGGGTCGTGAAAAAAAAAAAGTAGTGGGCAGAATGAGATTACAGGTTCAACAAAAACAAGGTTACAAAGTTGGTGTGGAAACAAACTAAATCGGTTCCCCGAAGTGGTCCACCCACGGAAACTGAATTTTTTGATGTCTTGCAATAAAAGACACAGTTTCTCTTTCATTTTAAAACAAAAACAAATTATTCCTCTGAATAATAATAATATCAAAATCTAAAATGTTTGGGATTAAGCAAGGGATTAGGCCTTCTTCCCTCTCCCTCCATTCCCACCCAAAAAAAAAAAATCAGCTTTTTCTTATCTACAGATATAGTGCTAAGTATTCTTTACAAATACCGGTTCCAAGAAACGCCAGCTGATTTGATATGTAGGCCTACAATATGTTCACATAGAGAACATTTTTTCTCATATTTTTTTCAAGCTATAACCTTATATATAGAGTATAGACTATAAAGATAGCCTACTAAATCAATAGAGTATACACTTTAAAGGGAGCCTATTAAATCAATAAAGAATAGACTTTAAAGGGAGCATATTAAATCAATAGAGTATAAAGGGAGCCTATTAAATCAATAGAGTATAGACTTTAAAGGGAGCCTATTAAATCAATAAAGAATAGACTTTAAAGGGAGCCTATTAAATCAATAGAGTATAGATTTTAAACGGAGCCTATCAAATCAATAGAGTATAGACTTTAAAGGGAGTCTATTAAATCAATAAAGTATAGACTTTAAAGGGAGCCTATTAAATCAATAGAGTATAGACTTTAAAGGGAGCCTACTAAATCAATAGAGTATAGACTTTAAAGGGAGCCTATTAAATCAATAGAGTATAGACTTTAAAGGGAGCCAACTACATCAATAGAGTATAGACTTTAAAGGGAGCTTATTAAATCAATCAGGTGACAAGATCTAGTATGGTACTTTTCCAAAACTAAGCAATATTTCAACATTGGTGATTTGGTACTCAAATACAATTACAGATCCAAAAAAAAAAAGTACTGTCGTTGGCAAATTATGTCATATGGTCAGATGGTTCTATTTTACGGTTTGAAACATGTTTTAGCAGATAAGCCACCAATGCTAGTTTGTTTTTATGCGGGTACTACCCGGATGCAAATGTAAACAAGCTTTACAACCACTCAGGGCTGGGCAATAGTGCTGATTGGACAAACTTGGTGTCTAAGTCCTGTAAGTTGTAAGGTCTGTCAAGGAGGGTCCATTGATACCCAGTCCAAGCTCTCATATGGTCAAATCAAGTAGCCCTAACAAATAGGTCTTTGATCATTTTGCCAAAAAGGAAATAAGTCTACCAGACAATATCCTTTCTTATTTAAAGAAGAGATTTTTTTTTCTAAACGCTGTTCTTTTATACTATTTTATAGGACAAATTGTTTTAAGCATTGTAATGATAATTGTTTTTTCTCTACATTCGCATGGTTCTCTTCATTTTGTAAATAACTTGTTTATTTTATGAGGATTTGACTTCCTATTCCCCCCCCCCAATTCAATGTCGTAAAATAGAAACTCTTGACTATATTTTCGACAAGGTCTGCACATATATATTTAATGTCTATGGGTCTGATTAAGTTGTCATCTTCGCCAAGGTCCTCTCTTTGAGTCTCAAATGTGTGTCCTGCTACCTTCGTGAGAGCTCTGCAGC